TTATCTAAAACAAAATATGGTTAAAGCACATCGAACCTTTGGGTGAACTGAATCTGAATTTAGCACAATAGCTGAATGTGTCTCTGAATGTCTATCTTGAGAAAGGTTGTTGGTAGTCTTTCTTATTTATAGAGATGAGGTGCTTGCAACACTTTTTCTACTCTGCTATGGTCAGACCTTACTTGGAATACCATGCCCAGTTCTGAGCACCAGGTCAAGAAAGATACTACTCTAACAAATGAGACTATATGTTCATAGGATGGTGACCAAGATGGCAAAATTTTTGAAAATGAAGCTTTGTAAGGAACAGCTTAGGGAGCTATGTATGTTTAGCTTAAAGATAAGAGGACTGAAAGGTGATGTGGTGGCCATATGTAAGTATGTGAAGGGACATCATGTAGAAGTAAGTTTGTTTTCTGCTGTTCCAGAGATTAGAACATGAGCCATGTGCTTCAAAATTACTGTACAAGAAAAGAGATTCCACTGACATATTGTGAATAACTTCTTGACGGTAAGAATTGTTCATAGTGGAAAACTCTACCCAGGAATGTGATGGATTCTCAATCTTTACAGGTCTTCAAACAGGGGTTTAGCTGCATTTTCTTGTGTGGTGGGGTTGGACTTATCAGTGGTTCCCAAACTTTGGTCCTCCAGGTGTTTTGGACTTCAACTCCTACAATTCCTAATAGCTGGTAAAATGGCTGAGATTTCTGGGAGTTGAAGACCAAAGGTTGGGAACCACTGTCAGATGGTCATTGCAGTCTCGTATGGATTTTTAAAAAGGTGACTAACTTATAAATACATTTTGAGGGGGCATATTTAAAAATTCAACTCTATAGGGATGGGTAAAGGACATCTTGCTGCATAAAGTAGAGCAACTAACCCCTTGCCCTTGAATAAAAGTTCAGTGCCCCAAATCCACAGCATTTAGTTTAGTAAACAAGGCTGTAAATTGCACTGAAAAATGTGTGGCTCTCTCATAGTACCCAAAACAAGCTGCCCTAAGGCACCACTTTCACCTTGCTCAATAGTAGTGCTGGCCACACAATTGCCTACAGAAAACAGTTATTGCGAAAGTATGGTAGCTGCCTGGAAGGACTTTCCTGCCTGCTTTCTTAATCATCTCAGTCAGATTTCAGACTCATCCTAATATGAAGAAACAACAGAAAAGTGTTATGCATAATGCCATTAATGACAGAACTGCAGCGTGTCTTCATAAGCCACAGATCAGAGAAAAGCTAAATGACTCATTCAGCCTGACCCTGTGCCTCAGGGAAGACTGCACTTCATCTCACTGCTACACTTCTGTCGTTCCCGATGCTCTTAAATCTTCGGCGCAACAGAGACTGTGCTGTCACCTCAGGGCCATGTGCTTCAAAAAAGCTAGTTTTGCAGTCAGTGTCTGTTTCTTAACAATTGACCTGTATTTATAACCAAAAGCTGGCTCAAGGAGAACTGCATCAATTTGTGGAAGTGAAGGCAGAGGGAGCGGGGGGGGGGGGGGGGGGGGGGGGGGGGGGGGGGGGCTTAATCCTTCTTACTTTCTTTTGGTTAATTTTGCTTTAAGGCAGGCACTCCCAACCTGACATCCTTCAAATGTGTTTAACTACAAACCCGTTATTCCTATCCAGACTGGTTGTATTGGTTGTGAATGATGGATACTACAATCCAAAAATTGAGGGAGCCCATCATGCTTTTTGAAGTCCTGTCCTCTCTCACCTAAACTTGCTCTCATTGACATTTATGTTTTTTGAAAGCGCCCCCATGGCACAATGGGTTAAACCCTTGTGCCAGAAGGACTGCTGAATGACAGATAAGCAGTTTGAATCTGGGGAGAGTGGGTTCAGCTCCCTCTGTCAGCTCCAGCTCCCCATGCGGAAGCCTCCCACAAGGATGGTAAAACATCAAAGATCTGAGCATCCCCTGGGCAACGTCCTTGCAGACAGCCAATTCTCTCACACCAGAAGTGACTTGCAGTTTCTCAAGTTGCTCCTGACACAGGAAAAATACTTTTTCTGAAAGCATTTGTACAGAAGCCTTGTACAAAGCTGAATGTCTGTATTTTTGTTTTTACTATATTTAGAATGATGTGTGGATAGACCTGGGAATGTGAATACATCTGGGATTAGTATCCAGCACTGAAGACTGAAATCTTCAGTCAGTCAGAAAGGAGATGGATGAACTGCTATGGCTGTTACTCCCCCAATGTGTTATCGCAGTACATGATATCAGTACATGTACTGTATTTGTGTATATAGTACACAGTATCAGTGTACTCTATTGAAGATTTTGCCTTGAAGTTGAAACTTTTCCCAAAGTTTCAGAAATACCACAAAGTAGGAGTAGACAAATCCCCTCAGATGTTACCAGACTGCAACTTCCATCAGCTCTATCTGGCTTTGGCAATGGAGAGGGATTCTAGGAGTTGTAGTACAACAACATCTGGAAGGCTGTTATTGCATATAGAATGCAGGAGGCTGTTCAATGTTAGATTCCACCCACCATCCATTAATTCAAGATTGACTCTGCATTCCCCCTTTTTTGTGCACATTACCAAGCTTTATAGAGAGTATTTCCATTTTCCACAATCTACTTTGCATCCAAATGGTGAACTAGCTTTGATAATAAAAACATCGCTTTGCATAGCAGCCTGTTACTGAGAAGTCAGCAGCAAACACATGTAAACATTCATTTTGTACTTTGAATTTGAGAGCAAATTCCCTTCTTCCTTCTCTAATACTTTTTTTTTTCTGGGAAAAGCTGCTTGGCATGCGATGCATGCCTATTAAGAGAAAGGGGATCCTGATATTAAATTGCTAGGATATCCTTTTTATTGTAACTGAAATTGAGGTTATACTTGTAATTGAATAATTCAGTGGTTTCTACTGTAAATGAAAGGAAATGCCCACCTGTACTATGCAAATATCTTCCAGACTTCCATTTTACGAATTGAGGCAACCTAATTCAGACACTTGACAGGAGATAGAGTCTACCTTCTGTATCTGAACATGGAATGCACCATCCACAGTTCAAAAATATTCAAAACAACCCAAAAATCAAACCTTGATTTTGCTATTTTATAAAAGACACCCCATTTTGCTATACCATTATATATGGACTTGAGTGTCCATGGATTCTGGTATAAATTCAGGGCTGGAACCAAACTATAGAGGATACCAACGCCCCACTAATATAACAGTTCTCCATTTTAAGAAACAACAGCTGTTTAAAGTATCAAAAGGTTTTAGGAACTTTGTTCTAGGGATTGCTACCAGACTGGAAGAAAGTATTTTGCAGCACTTAACTAGGATAGTTAAATTTATGCAAGGAACTAGGATACCAAAACCTTCTGGAAAGTTCATTCTAATGAGTAAAATCATACCATAGCATGGATCTACTTTCCTCTGGTTTCTGCCTCCTGCAGCATTCTGGGGTTTGTAGTTTAGTGAAGCCCAGGACCTGTATGGCTGAGCAGTTTAAACGCCCCTCCCTAAACTACAAGCCCCAGAATTCTGCAGGAAGCAGAATTGTTCATTCCAATTTTATTTTTGAGCTGCATTGTGGGGGGGGGGGGGGTCTCTTGTGTCTCCAATACAAGCTGAACAGATCATTGGTCTCCCCATTATTGTGCGCCTGTCAGCTTTGTCTCAATGGGAGGGAACAGTACAATATGGTGTGATCTGATGTGACCAAAGGTTGAACATCTTATAATCTAGCATATAGATTATAAAATCAAAATTATATGATGCAGAATATACAAGAAAAAATTCAGCACTTGTGTTGATCAAGTACATCTATGAGAGGGATTATTTAATAAACATTGTTATCATACACTGTTGTAGTGCAGTTATTCCACTTTAACTGCCATGGCGACCAATCTTATGGAATACTGAGATTCACATTTTAGGAAGGTACATTTGGAAATCTTAGCCAGAGAACTCTTGTACAAATCCCAGAATTCCACAAGGTGTTGCCATGAGAGTTAAAGTGGAATATTGTGCTATAATGGTGTTGGGTAATAAAGAGCATAGTGTGTTCTGCAAAGGTTGATGTATGCATTTGTAGATAATGGCATCATGGATTATGCCTCTACTTAATTTGTTTAGGGCAGTGGTTCCCAACCTTTTTTGACCAGGGACCACTTTGGCCAAAGACCAATCTCCAACATTAGTATCAAAAGGATCACAAGTTAGTTTTTGGTCAACTTTCAATTCAGTTTGGTTATTTGGTGTGCTGATTCAGGAAATTGCATTGGATAGACTACATCAGCTCTAGTTTCTGATGAAGAACATATGCCATCCAGTAGTGGCTGTCTGTTCACCCACAGAAAACCATATTTAATAAGCCTTGGCACTATAAGAGAGTTTTGCGAGACCGGTCACTCTTGTTGCAACAGTGTAGTAACAGTGAGGACACGGACCATATTTTAGTTCATGGGGACCACTGGTGAGAACCACTGGTATAGGGACTCTACTGTTGTATAACTGCCAAATAATCTCTACCAGCAATTGAAGGCAGACACCCTGTTGTTGGTGAAAATGAGGCACACACACACACTGTACTTTCCTTACATATGCATTGGAACATTACATTCTCTTATGCATTGAAGGCACACAACAAAGGAGCCATGCAAAAGCTGCACTTTGATTTATAGTTTTTAGTGGCTTCCAAAATCTTACAACTTACACTCCTGTTGAGTTTTGCAGCGCAATCTTTCTTCATTGTCCATTTCCCACTATGGGCCTTTGCACACTTTTGTCTCATTTATTCAGTTCTTCAACAAGGACAGTGTCATTCTGCATCTGGCCCCAATGTTTATATGTGTTTACAGAGTTGTCCTCTTAAGTAATCTATATATGGTAACTTAGGCTGAGTTTATTTTTTAAAGGTTACTCTGGTAGTCTTCAGTTAATGAGCTGTAAATGGTTTAATAATGATAAGCTTCATTGTTTTCATTGACATTTCAAAAATAAATGTTCTCTTCCCCTTTTTCTGTCCAGACTCCATAGGCGGTCCATTTCCTGCTTCTTCCCACCGATGCCACCACAAACAGAAACACTGCCTGCCCATCCCACAGTGTGGAGCCCTCTCAATCAGCCCATTGCTTTTCCACCCCCACACCAAAGGGTCGCAGATCATCATGGACACCACACAGAAGGCAGTCAAGCGCCAGGCTTCCTTCTGCAATGCCATCACCTTCAGCAACAGGCCAATTGTCATCTATGAGCAAGTCAGGCTCAAGGTGAGTGAATGTCTATCCTGCTAAGCTGCTTTGTGGGAATCTGAATTGATGCGGTATATTAGGTCCTCATAAGAAATGAGAAAATTCCTACTAGATCTCCTCTCCTCATGACCTGGTTCCCAGTGGGGATCTTCCTGCTCTAAGCTTGTAATTTGCTCAGGAAGAATTGCAAGAAGCTGTCCATCAAACAAATGCTTAATTTGGCCTTTGGAACATCAGATTGAGTTGCGGAGATCAGGTTTTCCCTCCAGATCAGATTAAAACCTAACAATGTTTGTACTATGGACCACCAGTGGTGAAGTGGGTTAAACTGCTGAGCTGAACTAGCTGATTGAAAGGTCAAGGTTCAAATTTGGGGAGTGGCATGAGCTCCCGCTGTTAGCTCCAGCTTCTGCCAACCCAGCAGTTCAAAAACATGCAAATGTGAATAGATCAATAGGTACCACTACAGCAGGAAGGTAATGGTGCTCCATGCAGTCATGCTGGCCACATGACATTGGAGGTGTCTATAGACAGTGCAGGCTCTTCATCTTAGAAATGGAGATGAGCATCATTCTGGACTTAATGTCAGGAGAAAACCTTTACCTGCCTAAGCGTGTATTCCCTTGAGGATTTCATTCTAGCAACAGATAGGTGATTTCTGAACACACAGACCCCAAATTATTAAAACAAGTGTGCACACTTTTCCTCCTATCCATCCATTAGCTGTTTTTGAGGCACATGACAGTGACCAAGTACAGGGTGCGGTAGCTTAACTTCCTTTTTAAAAATGTGCGCCATTCAGTTAGCTGTGGTCTCATTCAAGAGGCAGGAGTATAAAGTTTTGTCCTGACACAGTTCAGTCACCATCATGCATTGGAACAGTGAGGAGCGTGCTTTTGCCATTGAGGCCTACTTTTCGAGTGGATGTTCTGTGATCGCAACCTAGTGCACCTTTCGGAATCACTTTAATTTAGCCCCATTGGCCCCTGTCGCGGACCAGAAATCAATTGTGACATGGTTCCCTACATTCAGACAAACTGCAAGTGCAACAAGATGAAGAACTAGAGTCCCTCGGCCCATTAGATCACCTGAGAAGATTGAGGCAGTGAGAGCTCCAATGTTGTGATCACCACGGCATTCTGCGTGCAAACATGCGTCTGCCCTTGGACTTTCCGATCGTTCTGTGAGGAGAATTCTTCATGATGATCTTCATTTCCATCCTTACAAGATGACGATTGTGTAGGAACTTTCTGAACGTGACTTCAATTCATGAAGGAATGTGTGTGAAGTTCTTCTCGAAGTCATTCCTGATGACGCTATTTTTTTTTAAGTGATAAAGCCCATTTTCATTTGTGTGGATCCGTCAACAAACAAAACATGCGCTACTGGGCTGACAACAATCCTTGAGAATTGCATCAAAGGCCTTTGCATTCACCTAAAATCACAGTGTGGTGTGCAGTTTCCTCAGCTGGAGTTATTGGTCCCTGGTTCTTTGAGGAAAATGAAGTCACAGCAACAGTGAATTCGGACCGGTATGTAAACATGTTACGGGAATTTTTTCCCACAGCTAGATGGGTTGGACTTAGGGGACATTTGGTTCCAATACGATGGTGCAACTGCACACACCTCAAGAGCATCGATGGCTGTTTTGAGGGAACACTTCCCAGTGCGCCTCATCTCAATTAGGGCAGATTTGGAGTGGCCGGCCCGCTCTCCAGATTTGGCCCCTTGTGATTTTTTTCTATGGGTTTTTTTGAAATCCCGTGTTTATGTAACCGTCCAAGGACCCTACAAGATTTGAAGACCACCATCCAGGAAGAAAATGCCAACATAACACCTGCTATGCTGGCAAGAGTCATGACAAACACCAGAAATCGGTTTACTCAGTGTATGGAGAATGGGGGATGTCACCTACCTAATTTGATCTTCAAAACTACGTAAAACAAAACTTTAGGTATGTGCCTACATTATAAAAAAAATCTGATTCATACAATGGGTTTTATTAAGTTTTGAAAAAAGGAAGTTATGCTGCTGCACCCTGTACAACTGCCTTTGAATAGGAAATACTACATTTGAAATACGCTCCCCTCCATTCCCAAATTTCTTTGTAGGCTGGCTGAAATCTTCTGGCACACACTCTGCCCTGGTGTGCTTCCTTTCTTTCTGGATGCTTCCTCATCCCGCTGCCTGGCACAGCATTGCTTTTAAAAATTAATGGTTGGAGTGTTGTGTGTCCTGTTTTATGTGACTATTTTACAGGCTTACAGACATGGTTAGTGTGCAGATAAGAGTGTACAAAACCAGCAATTGTGTGCTGACATTTCTTTCTTTCTCAAAAGCTTCTGGGGATTTGCAATGTTTAAAATGGTATAATAAATAATATGATTTTAAAAAGCAATGAAGGTTACTGCTGCTTTTGTTCCCTTCTTTGTATATTTATTGCAGTTGTCTCACTTTATTGCATTTTGCTGCATCCAAAGTGTCTAGTTAAAGGATAGCTGGTCTGACAAGTAAAGCAGAGGAAAGTGTGCTTTTGCTAAATATATCTTATTAAATGTGCTCACTTTGTGCTTATTTCAAAAAATGAATGGGTTTAATATAAGATTTTTGAATGTCTGTAAAAATAAGTGCCAAACTATGCTTTGTTCAGCCTTCTTTTGTGAAAAAGATAAGATGTTATATTTGTTTTTCATCTTTGCTCAGCCTACAGACAATATTTAATGTTGTTATTGTTGAAAGAATTGAAGAGTGGTTTTATTTCAGGTGCATTTTGTGACTATTGGGTGTTTTCTCTGCTATCACTTTTTCTTACCTAATTAAGTTTTCCTTCTTGTTTTCTTGGTACCAAGACTCTTGACATCCTGTTTAGGATTTAGAGGGAAAAGAATAAAAAATATGGAAGGAAAGGAGAAGGGGGAAAAACTTGAAGCTCACCTTGACTGCCAAAACATGTGCCCAAAGCTCTTAGCTTGGTTTGCATGTCGGCACTTGGAGTGCTTCTCTTATTAAGAAGTGTCTGGAGTACTACTAGCAAAAATGGCTTTTAGGAAATGACACATGTCTAGATTTGATGGGTAGAAAGATGCTCTTTGCCAATCCAAGAATTTTCCTTTCTTAGCTCCTTGACGGCTGCTTGCTTTGCATATTGATACAAGATTTAGAATATCTTTCTGAGAACAAATCTGATTGCTTTTTCACTTTTGCACTGCCAATGATGATAGAGCAGAGACTTCACTGTGCAGCTGTGAAGTGGATTTTTTAAATGGCAAAGGCGCAAGATTCCAGTACAGGCTGAGTATCCCTTGTCTGAAGTGCTTGTCTCTTTCACATTTTGGAATACATGTATTTCCATATATGTACATAATGAGATATTTTGGAGACAAGACCCAAGTCTAAACATGGAGTTCATTCATGTTTCATATGCATCTTTCTACTCATAGCCTAGATTGTTAAAAATAATATTGAGCATGGAACAAATTTTGTGTTAATTAAACCATCAGAAAGCAAATTCCATATAAGAGATATTCCACCTGTACATTTTCCTAGTAGAAGGTTCCATTAGTCTTTTTAAATCGTATCAGAAGTGACTTGAGAATCTGTGAGTTGCTTCTGGTGTGAGAGAACTGGCTGTCTGCAGAGACATTGCCCAGGGAACACCCGGATGTGTTACCATCCTGTGGAAGGCTTCTCTCATGTCCCTACATGGGAATCTGGAGCTGACAGATGGGAGCTCACCCCATCTCACAGATTCGAACTGCCAACCTTCAGGTCAGCAATTCAGCCGGCACAAGGGTTTAACCCATTGTGCCACCGCAGCTCCCTATCCATTATTCATTATACTAAATTTCACTTACTCTTGAACAGACATTTCAGAGCTTTGGTATAGAGAATGTTTATGATCCTAGGGGACAACATTAAACAGGGATGGGTTTAATTTTCAGACTGTGAATCCCCTCATAGACACACCCAGAGTTCCCAGATGTTCAGCTCTATTTAAACTTTTGTACTACCCTATTTAATCAAATCTAATGTTCACCTTTTTTGGCTAAATTACCTTTTCAAAATTAGGTGCCTATTATATTCATGTCATATGGTAATCTTAGTGCTAAGCCAAAACAAAAGGGGAAGCTATTTCAGGAGCTCATGGAGCTCCCATTTGAGGGAAATCATCTCTTATTTAATTACCATGTCTCAATTATATGTGATCCTGGGATTTGAAGTTTGGTGAGGCATCAATATTATTTGGCAGAGAAGGTTCAAGACCTTGTAAAACTACACACACACACACACACACACACACACACACACACATGAATCCATAGTGTTGAATCAAGGCCATTAAATTGAATTCATTCTACTGCAGAGATGAACGCCAAGGTTTTTGTCTCCATTGCTGAAAGCTTTGGTTTTCTAACACTTTCATTTTTAAAGAAGGAAAGAGATGCAGGCAGTGACTGCAATGCATACCTTTCTTGGCCAAATTGCAAAGGGTGCACTTTTGGCCAGTGTGCATTACATTCCGCAGCAAATACTTTTCTTGGTTTCAGAATTTTGAAAATTGAGGTGCGCATTAGACTTGGTGGTGTATTAGACTCAAATAAATACGGTAATTTTAAAGCTATGCTTTGGTTTTAATCAGATTTAATCTATTTTGTGTTTTGTGCACAGATAAAGGAGGGATACAAATTAACCAAAGAAATATAAACAAATAAACCCCCAAGCCGTCCCCATCAACAACTCCAAAAGTGGAGAAAGTGATATCAGTTGATTTTTTAAACATTGTTTAAATGCCCACAGGGATTTGAGGAATCTTAAAAATGGCCCCCTCCCTATCCATCTCCACTTTCAGAGGATGTAAATGAAGATACAATGAGATAGTAAATGAAGCATGTAACCACAACTATGGTTGTGCATTCCTGTCATTCTGGAAGAGCAATGCTTCACTGATAGCAAATTTGGCCCTATTCATAGCCAGAATCCATCCACCAGTGCAGCTACATTGGTTGGTATGTTCTCAAGAGTTAGATTCTTTGAAACATAACAAAATCCTCCAAAATTGAGGGTCATAAAAACTTGTTTTTAAAGAATGACCTCAAATTGGGTCAGTATAGTCTTTTCACAACTTGGTTTGATGTCTCTAAGTTGTAAAATATCGTTGGATTAAATTAGTATTGGAATTAGTAATCAAATTTGTGAAAGCCCTTTGTGTTATTGTGTTTTTGAAATTTTCATAATACTGAAAAAAGGTTTTGGCATCAAAGGCCTCTATAACTTTTTCAAGGCTGTGGATATTCCCAAGATATACTTAACAAAAGTAAATAAAAACCCCACTTCTCCTTGAAATGCCATTACTTTTAGACTCTTCTGGACATTTTTATTGTATTCGCTGTTCAGCTTTATTTCTGCCATTAAACAGTTATTACAACTATGTCTAGAATTCCAGTTCACAAGAACCTTGATGCAGCTTTCCTCCTGTCTTCAGTTGTTTACTGCTGGAATCCCAGATTACACTGATTTCATTTCAGCATTAAATTCCCAGGTGTACACCTTTCTTTGTCTATTTAGAAGGATTGCAAAGTTCTTAAAATATATCTTGCTTCAACTGCACTCAGCTTTCTGGCATTGTCTTCTGAAGAATAGCTTTTATTCCCTTTATTTTTGCAAGAACTGACTGGTTTGCTCAAAGAGCATCTGTTTGCCTTTGGAATAATCATCCAATGTAATTGTTTTCATGTCAGGAGCAACTTGAGAAACTGCAAGTTGCTTCTGGTGTGAGAGAATTGGCCGTCTGCAAGAATGTTACCCTGGATGTTTTAACATCTTATGGGAGGCTTCTCTAATGTCCCTGCAGGAGAAGCTGGAGCTGACAGATGGGAGCTCACCCTACTCCCCAGATTTGAACTGCTGACCTTTCAGTCTGTAGTCCTGCTAGCACAAGGGTTTTAACCCATTGTGCTACCGGGGTCTCCATCCAGTGTAAATTAATCAGAGGAGAGGGAAGTTCACTTGGGCCCATCCACGTGTAAGATCAATAGATGGAAAGAGCAGTGAAAGGAATCCTCCCAGTCCAGTGACAAAAATATAGTTGGCCTTCTGTCTCCTATTCCCGAGACCCAATGTCTATAAGCTTCCCCTTCTGACACCCAACCGTTCATAGCATTTGACAGGGATGCATACAGCTTTTCCTGGTGTATCAATTTTAGTGTGTGTGTGTGTGTGTGGGGGGGGAGTTATGCAGAGTCCCTGCCAAGTTCCAGTCATGGCTCCGGGAAGCTGCAAATTATCCTGGTAATGGTTGAGTCACATAGCCATATGTATTGCAGCCACCATTGAGGTCTCTAATTCATAAAGTTAATCCTATAAATATATCCAGCCCTCCATATTCTCCAGGGTTAGTGGCACTGGACCCCTGTGAAAGTGAAGAATCATGAACAAAGAAATCATTATTTTTTTCATCTGAGAGAACACTTCTCTGGGAATATCTAGGTCTTCCAATGTGACTGGAGAAAGTTGGCCATGGAGTTGGAATGAAAGACCTAGAGATTCCTAGAGTGAACATTTTTAATTAAATCAATGATTACTCAAATCCATAAAAGTCAAACCCACAGATGTGGAGCACTCATTATACATGTATGTCTACTCAGAGACAGTCAGGGCCAATCAGAAATATGGTATTGGCTGAGATAATACTAAAACTTCAAGGGATTGCTCCCATGTAACAAATACATGACAAGTAACAAATAATGTAGCTACTTGATATAAGTTAGAGAGAACACTACACAGTGACATCTCAAAATTAATGTAAATGGGTACAATGTTTCTTTATTGCTTCAATGAGTAAGTTTTCTGGTTATTTTGAAAAATTACTGTATTTTTAAGGGCACTTTTGGAATCATTTTCATAGGAATTTGTCATTCTGTTGTTAATGAAAAGATTTCTTCTCCCTTCCTCTAAAGCAATGAAGACTAATGAGCAATAGAACAAGATACGCAAAAAGCAATTCATCAAGTCAATTTCCCAAAACAACAGTGAACTGATTTTTTTTTTAAAAAAATCTGCATCAAGTAATGGAGAAAATGTGTTTTGAAAAAACAATGTGCTTTTAAAATGTAATAATTCAAGCTCTGGGGGAATCCCACGCAAGACATTTTATCTAACCTTTGCATCACTTACGATGCATTCACAAAATTCATTATACAATCTCCTCTCCCACCTTTCCCTAACACAGTAATATCTAGTATTTCAATGTCTCTCGTAGAAGGATAGCTGTCACGTATGCTAAAATCCTCATCCTTTTATCACAAAGATTCATTTACTGTTGTTGTTTTTGTCTGTCTACTTTATGATGACCCTAAGGTGAACGTATCATGGAGTTTTCTTGGCAGAGTCTTTGTTTGTCTTGGTCTGAGGCTGAAATGTTGGAAATAGCAACCTTCTAAGCCTCCACTAACTGTTTGTAAATTGTGTATCATTGTTAACTCATATTGTATGTACATTTTGGTTTGCCAGTTTGCCTGTAATTCTTTGGTGTGGGAGGGGCTTCAAACATAGGACTCCATTTTGTATTCAGTATGCTTTTAGACCTCAATGGAGGTGGATGCAGTTTGTCTCTTTTCAGACTTCAGTGAGTACAGTTATACAGTTTGGACTATATCTATATGCTTAAAGACATTGGATTGTGGACTAGTGTGCTGAATAGATACAAGAAGTTTGTTAGTAAATACAATATGTTATTCTTAAAGAAAACTACATTGTTTTTTTCTCTAAATGCGTATTTAAAAAGTAAGATGTTTCAGGGGAGTTCCGATGTGCCTTTGGCGAATGAATATATATTCCAATCTTAGTCTGTCCCTACTACTGCTCTGTCCTCATGATGCACTTTCCCCTGTCCCTAATGTAGGTTTACCCCACACTTTGGCCTCCCCCCCCCCCGAAACACACTCTCCCTTAGAAACATATTCTACCTATCTCATCCAGGGTTTTATCAATTTCTATCAATTTTATTCCCAGTACATTTGGCCCACCCACTGTGTCCTATTTTTCTTTCATTTTTGGAACTGTTTATTTTGTTTAGTCATGCTAGCATTTTTTTATGGTATTTTGCTTCTCTCTATTTAATTTTGTTGCATTTGTTCGTTATTTGTTGTAATTTTGGGCTTGACCTCATGTTAGCCACCCCGAGTCTCCTTTGGGGAGATGGTGGCAGGGTATAAATAACGTTGTGTTGTTGTTGTTGTTATTATTATTATTATTATTTGAAACACAACAAGATGAGTCCACAGCAGACAAGATCACTCTGCTGACTGTTGTATTGGATCGCACGTCGGACACTTCCCAAGTGTCTAGGACTGTGTGATATATCAGCGAATAATGCGTGCAGATCTGCAGCTGGCAGATGATAATTTTGTCAGTGCCGATTGTGTTTAAGTGCAGGCCAAGGTCTTTAGGCACTGCACCCAGTGTGCCAATCACCACTGGGACCACCTTTACTGGCTTGTGCCAGAGTCTTTGCAGTTTGATCTTTAAATCCTCATATCGTGTATTATTATTATTATTATTATTATTATTATTATTATTATTACAACTGCAAATTCTACTTCAAAGAAACAACTATCCCCTGCTAACCAAATATATTTTGTAGTGACCTGTCTTTATCCTTGGCAATTTAAAGACATGGCTCTTCAGTTTAACAGCTGAGTTACCTTTGTGCCATTACATGAATGCTTATGAACATAATTTGTTCAAAGAGTTGACTTCTAACAAGGTTATGCATTTCTTGACTAGTGTTTTTTAAAAGGTGGTATCTGTGTTCATGGAGATTCATATTTGCCAAATGGATGTGACATCATTTTTAACCTTTTCAATGAGGTGATGGTGCACTTATTTCCAATATGAAAGAATTTAAACAACTCAAGGTCATCCAATGGGTTTCCCAGGCCGAGCCAGGATTCAAACTCTGTCCGTCAATGTCCATCCCAAATTCAAACACTGGCTCATTAATTTTTATATTCTGTATCTTTATCTTCGAGACATATTATGTCTGTTAATGAAAAATGCTGGAGAATTGTACTGATTGTGTTGCTCTTTCCCTCCTGTTTAGATCACAAAGAAGCAGTGCTGTTGGAGTGGGGCGCTTCGACTTGGATTTACCTCCAAGGATCCCTCTAGGATTAACCCAGAAACCCTACCCAAATATGCCTGTCCAGACCTGGTTTCGCAAAGTGGATTCTGGGCCAAGGCTCTCCCAGAAGAATTTGCAAACGAAGGAAACATCATAGCCTTCTGGGTGGACAAAAAGGGGCGCGTATTTTATCGGGTGAATGACTCTGCTGCCATGTTGTTCTTCAGTGGAGTAAGGACCACCGAACCACTGTGGGCCTTGATCGATGTGTACGGACTCACGCGTGGAGTGCAGTTACTCGGTAGGTGCCTTTCTGAAAATATAGCCTTGTTGAGAGCAGCTAAGCTCTTGTATTTTTCACAGCTAATCTTTTAATTCTCTGTATTACCTGAATGATAGTCTAAGCGGCTGTACAGTGGAATCAGACTGCCATTTTTGATGAGAGTACCTGAAATGACATAGTCAGGCATGTCAGGTCCTCTGGTGCTTCCAGTCCTGCATGAGCTAAAAAGAGACTGTGGCTATGTTCCATTTACTATCATAAGTGTTGACCTTTCTTGACAAGGGCAAGACTTGTCATGGTATATACAATAGAGCAATAAAGGCTAATGACATGAACATGACAAAGTGATTTATGGGAGCAGACTCTTTTTAGATTAGAGCTCACCTTATCAGGTTTGTGAATTGTTGAACTTACTGAAAGGTGTGTGACTGTGTGTCCACTCAAGCATATACACGGCAGTTTGGCTTGTCTTAGGTATCCCAGGAAATTGTCACTGAATTTTGAGTTTCATTGCCCTTTGGCCTTAAAGTCAGGGGGGAACATAAGAACTATATTTGGCCCTCAGTATTTGTGGGTTTAACTTTTGTGGATTTGATTATTTGTGGATTTGATTAATATCATCCCACTAGGAATCTCTAGGTTCTTCAGTGTGACTCTGTGGCCAACATCCCATAAAGTGACGTAGTTCCCAACCCTTGCTCCTCCAGTTGTTTTGAACTTCAACTTCCAGAAATCCCAGTCAGTTTACCAGCTGCGAGGAATTGTGGGAGCTGAAGTCCAAAACACATGGAGGACCAAAGGTTGGGAACCATTAATTAGAGATTCCTAATGAGAACAACTCTCTAAGTGTTTCTAAGGTCTCCAGCACAACTTTGTGATCAACTCTAGAAGGAACCAGAGTAGTATTCTTTCAGGTAAAACAAACAACTTTTTTCACATTTGCATGGGTTCTTATCCCAACCCAAAGAAATGTGGAGGGCTGACTGAAGTCTGCTTTGATTGACATTGACTCACCACAATTTCTGCCAAAGGATTTCTATCAGACTTATTACCAAATTCCTTTGATTGGAGATGACTGGGATTGTTTTGAGGACTGTCTGTCTCTAAAGCAGATATTTGGAGTTGTAAAATCAGCTCATCTTCAAGGTGCTAGGATTTGATTTTTCCCACACCTCAATAAACTTAGCACAGCTATCTATGTGGAAATACGTAGAACAACATGAACTTTAGGTGGGATACTATGCAGTCTATCTTACTGAGCAGTCTTGAACCCATGTGAGTAGTAGCAAATGGCCTTTAAATAAAGCTGAAGTCTGAAATAAACAGCTGTGGGGTTTCTACCACGTGTTGTCCATATAGCTGGGGTGTGTGTCTGTGTGTGAGATTATCCTATGATTTTCTGTCAGAACGTGCTACATAATGCAATTTTTGTAAACCGTATAGAATCATAGACTCCTAGAGTTGGAAGAGACCTTGTGGGCCATCCAGTGCAACCTCCTGCCGAGAAGCAGGAAAATCGCATGCAGAGCACCCCTGACAGATGGCCATCCAGCCTCTGTTTAAAAGCCTCTAAAGAAGGAGCGTCCACCACACTCTGGGGAAGAGAGTTCCACTGCTGAACAGCTCTCACAGTTAGGAAGTCCTTCCTAATGTTCAGGTGGAATCTCCTTTCCTGTGGTTTGAAGCCATTGTTCCATGTCCTGGTCTCCAGGGCAGCAGAAAAAAAGCTTGCTTCCTCTTCCCTATGACTTCCCTTCACATATTTATACTTAACATTTTAACTCTGGTTTGCAAAAACCTCCAAGCAAACACAGGTTGGAAGTAATAAATAACTATAAAAATAAGTATCATTAATAAGATAATTTCTGTTATGACAGACTATCTGTGCACATTCAGAAATTTGGAATGTTGCTCTTTATCTTATTAATCTATCTTGCATTTGGCAAAAAGAAGCACATTTCATACTTTATGTGTGATCCATGCTTTACCTGAAAGGGGATTAACTGTCTATTCATAGATTAGTAAGATTCAAAAAAAAGTTTTAAAACTTTTTTTTAAAAAACCCTCTAAACCCTGTGGACCTGAAAAGATATTCTTCAGTTACTTTTATTACACAATAATTTCATAGTTGTGAAAATCATTTTATTATGCTTAAAATCCTCAAGTCTGTAGAAGTTTCTAGTTAGCTGAACATTTGTGAGCCCTTCTAAGAAGAAGCCTTAGGATAAATGAATGTTCAGCTATGAGGTTAAACTGCTGAAAATTCAGGGCCACTGAATTGACACTATAATCTTTTTTACACTTTGAAGATTACACGAGTTGACATTTTTGTATAAGAATTACTCTGGTGAATAAATCAAAATAGATGTATCACTTCTCACTTAATTCAGTATATGGTAGAGCAGTGGGTTAAAGTACTGTAGTAAACTTGTACAATTGCTGGAAAATGACTCCACTAGGCCCTAATGTGGAATATCCAACATATATAGAACAATAATGTGAACACCCGCCAAAATGTTTCTGTTGGGAAAGTGTTTGTAAAACTTACAACATTTTTGAATATTTGGCATTTATAACACCTACTTTTTCTACTTTTCTATAAATAGCACCATGTCTTCCCTGACCTTTTACTCCACCTAAAATGAGAGTCACAACAGTAAATGCATCATGTCCTGAAAGTGTATTAATCTTGATATAGACAAGCTGCAGTTCCTTTTTTTTAAATTGTTCCAAATCTATCTCTATTTGAAGGTGGCATAAAGGAAAGAATTATTTCAGAGATGGAAAATTTTGGTGTCAGCAACTTTGGTACTTTGCTATACTTAATGGATATTTAAATCCCTTTATAACCTATATTAAAGCTCTAAGCATCATAGTTCCATAACACACTTTGAATTTGTAACAGCCAAGAGCAATAATTCTTACCTTCTTTATTTTTTGTTTCACAAAGACTGAAACTTTCCAATATCCTTCAGCCGGAAAACCAGTAACAGACACATCCTGCAGCTATCTTGTCTCCTACTTAGTTAAGTGCATTATACCTAGTACAATTAGGCACCTGTCACCGAGATTCCAGTGCCACTTAGGATGAGTTTATGCAATGGACATTAATGCTCAGACATTTATTTATAGCATGTTCCAATTGCCTTTGGCAGGCCCTAATCTTGGCAATTGTCTTGAAGCCTCTTAATCTTGTTTCTTGCATGTCTCGATTCCTCATTATGTGGTGTCAAAGCTCAGGTGGCCATTGACATATTGTTCTTCATCACTTTACACACTTGCTTCTCCTTTTGTTTTACAACATTAAACGAAAGTCCTTGGATGGTGAAAGTTCAGGGGAATAGAGAGTCAAGGTCTTTGTCTTGGGAATATTTTTTAAAAAACTGACCCATAAAATATAGGCAATGTCCTTGAAAGTATATATTCACTTCTTGTTTATAGCTATTGAAAGTTATGTTTGTACATCCAGGGAAACGACTGCAGGTGAAGTACTAGAGCTGCTTAATTTAGTGCTTCTAGTGTGAGTTATGAGAACATTATCCATATAAATGACAAGAGGGGAAGTGATGAATGGTTTTCCTTTCTCTGCAGTTCTAGATCTTGTGTGAAAGAAGGTTAAGTTTGTACCCCTGCAGGAAAATGTATTTTCTCTAGGATTATATTATAAATGTGGGTTGTAATCACAATCTGTGGTCATAAAACCCAGAAGATGAGGAGATGAATGTCAACTCATTCGAAGCTCTTTGTCTACTGCTTTAGCAAAACTAGGGATGTAGCAATGAGCGGGCAAGTGACGTTTGACCCCCATCAAAGTTTTTCTCCCCAAAGTTAATTTTTCCTTGCATCTCCAACTTTCTAGCATTACAGACAGAAAGACAGTTAAAATTAGCCACACTTAGGACTATAATATTTTTTGTACTTGCATTTCCTTGGTCACTTGCCTGCCTCTTAGCTTTGAATGCCTAAACCATAATTCTAAATGATCAATTGAAATGTTAAGTAACTTCACCTTTGGGATCAAATGAAAACTTAATGAGGAAAGGCAAAAATCTTAGCCCTTTTCTTCCCCATGACTATAATATATGGTTGCCTATAAAAAGTATGGCCCATTCCTGAACCTGAAGGAAATATTTATTTATTTATTTATTTATTTATTTACAGTATTTATATTCCGCCCTCCTCATCCCGAAGGGGGCTTGGGGAGGATCACCGAATACATATTTGGCAAACATTCAATGCTGATTATACAATGATAAGACAGACAGCAGATATATATATAGGCTTTCCCATCTTTCTGTATCTTTGGAGACTGTGCTCGGTTCTGGCCACAGAGGGTTGCTGTCACGCCATCTCCTTGCTGAAGAGCTTTCTTTGTTCGTAAACTTCCTCCTTTTTCTGATCAAAATGCTGTGCCTAAATCTCTCCCCGCTTTAATGTGGTTCCTATTTATGAACTCACCATTTGTTTTTGAACTGCTAGGTAGGCAGAAGCTGGGCTAAAGGTCAGATGCTTACCCTGATCCAGACTTGGAACTGTCAAACTTCTGGTTGACAAGATTTATTGCAGCTTGGTGATTAACCTGCTGTGCTAAAGGTTCATGCTTCAGTGTATCACTAATATTAAGAGTTGCTGTCATTGTTGTTGTGTGCCTTCAAGTCATTTCTGATTTATGATGACCTTAAGGTAATGCCATCATGATTCTTTGAGGTGCTGAGAGTGTGTGAATCACTCAAGGTCATGGCAAGGAATCAAATGGGGAATATAACTATTGTCTCGAGAGTCATAGTTTAACACTCAATCCCCTTCACCATGTTGGGTCTGAATTTCTCTCGAGTGGATACTGTTATTTCCATGGTCTCACTGACATTAATTTGTATAGTTCTGATCAGAATAGGAAGTTACATTATACAGTCATATGGTCTATTCCTCTAGCCCACTGCTTCTTAAACTGCGGGTTCTGACCCCTTAGCTTAATGTTGGGGTTCCAAAAATTGGCAGCAGTAAAAGATTTCTGAATG